GACGCGAACATGAAGTTGAAAACAACAAGCCGTGCCAAATTCGGTTTGGTAAATATTATTGATTTTTATGTCAATAAATTCAGAGCCACTTTCTGTACAAACATGTCATTCCCCTTATCTATCTGCACTGCAATCCACAAGCTTCTCTAATTACACAGAACTTCACGTGGCATTAGTCTTACAACTGCTGTTTACGCTAGTATAGCTCATTCTGTGTTTACACTCCTGAACTGATGTTTCTATCGTGCTGGGACTTAGCATGCTGCCATCCTAAGATGTTCTTCGCGCCTTATCCGCGAGAAAATTTCGAGAGATGGCAACGGTAAACAAGAAACAGCAACGCAAATTGTTAATCGAGCATGATGTTCATTGGCATTGTGAATACGAAGGTTCTAAGGATTTTATCGTTACTCCTAGACAATTGCTGTTACTCGAGCCAATACACGCGGTAGTATCATGAAAGTGTTGATCCCAACGAACATTCCTTTGAGAAGGTTCCTGATACCATCCCTGTGCATTCCACTGTTTCGGCGTGTATGTGAACACATTTGGGACTAACAGAGTTTACTAGAATCCCACCACTCCACCACAGAGTCACTGCAGTAGACGTTAGATGAGCGCTGTCGCTCCGCGGCACTTGTTCTAGAACGTTAACATTGAAATCCCCTAATATAATAATTTCCTGCTCATTGAACCTGTCAGCATTTATACTAATATTTTTCAATAGTTCGAACAAGTTGCCTTGTTTTGCTGGTCGATAGCATACCCCGGTCAATATTGGTTTTGATCTTGGTAGTAAGATATCAACCCATATAGCTTCTAGCCCAACTTTATCCATATCAGTTCTTATGTTATTTGCTAAATCATTCCTGATGAAAATACACACCCCACCAGGGCCACTACCTGATCTATCTCTATCCCACCTTTCTACACTATAATTTTTTAATTTCAGAGTCATCAACTGAATCATCTAGCCAGGACTCAGATACCGCAATCACTGCAATCTTAGCTTGCATAGCAATATATATCTAAATTCTTATATTTTAGGAAGGATACTGCGAGCATTTAAATGAATGAAATGTAGACTTTTCTTTTGGGAAAAACTGAATTCGGATGAGTCGGGATGGCATGGGTCTACTCTGGTTATTATTAATCCTGTGTCTCGTTGAAACTTATCTGCCGGGTCTCGAAGTGTAGTCAGCTTGGAGCTCCTAGGGATTGGTTCCTCCGACGCTAGCATGATTGATGTATCCTGTGCTTCATCTGATGCCTTGAGGCCCCAACCTTCTAGTTTTCCTGATTAACATTAACGAAGTTTCCAGCCAGTCGATCTCCTCCCTTCCTGTTTAAGTGTAGTCCGTCATGGGTTTAGAGGTCCTGCCTGCCCGCGAAGTCCGCCCAGTTGATACTTTACCCTGCTTGCCTTGCACATGGTCCGGATGGTTTGGTTGATGGACATCAATTTCTGGTTGATGTCTTTAGATCTGAAACAAGGAATTGTACCTGAAACTACTAGCCAGGGTTCGACACTATCCCACGTCCGACCGACCTAGTCGGGTAAATGCTTGGTCCGGCCGCATACAACCAGAGTGCTAGTAGCCCGACTGGTCGTGTTAGAATTGGTCATATATATTGCACTGAAAGGTCACCTCTGGCTAGACTGGTTCGCGGCCGAACTGTTTGGCATGCGTCTAAATAGAGGAATTGCTCCGACCTGTGATTGGAGGATAAAAATAGACCCCGCCCACTCCCGCCGCATACGCTATGCTATGACCGGTAGGAACGTGTACTAACTATCATATGGAGCAAACGATTTGAGTTACATTTCTATAAATTCTAGCTATTATAGACACATGTCTTAGCCTTAATCTGTATGAATTTTGAGTCTATTGAAGCGCGATTAGTCTAATTAATTAGCAAATATGCACGCTCGGCTATGACCGGTGAAACGAAACGTCACGAATTCTATTTTTATCCTCCAAAAATGGAAAAGTGGGCGGGGTCTATTTTTATCCTCCAATCACAGGCCGGAGCAATTCCTCTGTTTAGACGCATGTCACTGTTTGTCGCAGAGCGTGTACATTGTCTAGCAGAGCGTGAGGCTAGATACCAGTCTACCCTTCGGCAAAAACAATAACGTGGCTTGCCGCCAGCCACAGTAGACGATCGATAAACCGTGCGCTCGTGTATATGCCCGTGGTAGAATACGAATGATGCACGTGAACTCGGCCCACGCGCGATTTAAAGCACGGGAAACAGCATCTATAAATTCATACGATGACACACTCTTATCTAAATAAAGTTTTTCATAACAATGGTCTGAGTCTGGCCTAGTGAAAGTTAGGTCAGGGCTAGTGGGTTTCCTCAGTTACTAGCCCAATGGTCTAGTGAAATAAAAAGTTAATGTTGAACCCTGCTAGCCTCCCTGTTATGTCTTTGCTGAGCTGGCTTTTATAATTAAACTTTGTATTTCCTTCCTCGCTACCTCTAGATCTTTGTTTAGAACATCATTAACCCCTACATGCATAACTACTGTGCCCTGGCTATCTGAAACATTTACTATCCTATCTAGTCTTTCTTTTATATCTTTTGCTCCAGCCCCTACAAACGTTGCAACACACATATATCCTTTCTATCCCCATCATTGCAAATAGCTTTTACAGTTTGCCTAACTATCGAGTCCCCAATAACTAAAAGGTTGTTTAGGTAGCCAACTTCCTTTGAGTTCCTTGACGATGTATCTTCTATTTCCTCTTGCCCCATCTCTGTTGGAGGGTCACGGTGTATCTCGTCTTCCGACTCCGGAGTGGTGTTGAGCTGATCCAGAACCTCATAGCTGTCCTGATGGTCTCTGCTCCTCAGCAGGTCAACCTCCTCCTTCAGGCTCTTGATTTCTTCGCTAAGTGCTGCCTTTTTCTTCAGCCACGTACTCCCCCTGAAACTTACATAAAGTGCAGTCATGCACGAAATCATCGGGCATAACATCGTCGGCGCATACGTTTTCCCAGATATCCCATCTATTACACTTACAACATTGAGCCCATCTATTACCAAATGTATCTACTTTCTTTGATGTTTTCTTCTTTTGACCCATTTAGCTTACATTAGATCTATATATCAGTTTATACTTTATTGCCCAGGTTAGAGTTTATTTATCTAGTCGATGGGTAATTTTGAACTTTCCCGCCAAAAACCAACAATAACAAATATGGCCGCTCCCCTCTGCCTTTCTAGTCTAAAATCTAGCTTAACTTTACTTTTAAACCGTATCCTCCACCATAGAAGTTATTAAAATGAAAAAGTACTTCCTTTAGGAGTAAAGTAGAATCTCTTTCAGTGGTCGTAAGCGCAGAAAAGTCGTATTCTTCACATAATGTTTACTCCTTTGTCGGAGAGATACGAAAACACGTCCGTTCGCTGCGGTGGCGCTAGCTAGCTAGTGATAATATAATATTAATATTAATAATTGTGATAATATTAATAACTCTACCATAATTCTATATAGCCGGCAGAACAATGAATGATTAGGATGTAGGCTGAGTTAATAATTAATAATATCATATTATATAGTTATCTAATTTGTGATATACAGTGATTGATCCTAATAACTGTACTATAGTACTGTTATCTACTATACTGAAATACAATTAGGGCACTTGAACAATTCCATATAAATTTAGGAATATGGCACACACGTGCATATATATGATAAGTTGGATAAGTTACCTGCCCTCCAACTCAATATATTGCCCAAATACTAATGCAGGCACATCAGTCATGCATCTACCACAACTGTTTTCCTCCGCCACAGGTCTGGTCAGTCGTCGACGTCGGAATCATTCGAGAACCTACCGCCGTCTGACGTCAAGACGATGCCGGACGACGAGGGGGCGCCGGCGCGGCGGTCGGACGAGCCGCCGCTGCTCGTGGGCGAGACGCTGCAGGGTCTGGCGCGCGACGTCACGTACCTGTGTCCGTACACGGGGCCGACGCGCGGCACGCTCGCCGTCACCAACTACAAGCTGTACTTCCGCAGCGTCGACCGCGAGCCGCCATTCGTGCTCGACACACCGCTGGGCGTCGTCAGCCGCATCGAGAAGGTCGGCGGCTCGACGAGCCGCGGCGAGAACTCGTACGGCATCGAGATCTTCTGCAAGGACGTGCGCAACCTGCGCTTCGCGCACAAGCAGGAGAACCACTCGCGGCGCACCGTCTTCGAGAAGCTGCACGTCTACTCGTTCCCGCTCTCGCACCGGCTGCCGTTCTTCGCGTTCGCGAACGAGGAGGACGGCGGCGGCGAGAGCGGCTGGGACGTGTACGACCCCGTCGCCGAGTACCGCCGCCAGGGGCTGCCGAACGAGAGCTGGCGGCTGTCACGCATCAACGAGCGCTACGAGGTCGCAGACACGTACCCGAGCGTGCTGTGCGTGCCGGCGGCGGCGAGCGACGACGACCTCCGCCAGGTGGCGCACTTCCGGAGCCGCGGCCGCGTGCCCGTCGTCTCGTGGATCCACCCGGAGAGCCATGCGACGATCACGCGCTGTGCGCAGCCGCTCGTCGGCGTCGGCTTCCGGCGCAGCAAGGACGACGAGCGCTACGTGCAGATGATCCTCGACGCGAACGCGCAGTCGCACAAGCTCTACATCATGGACGCGCGGCCGAACGTGAACGCGGTCGCGAACAAGGCGAAGGGCGGCGGCTACGAGAGCGAGGACGCGTACCAGAACGCCGAACTCGTCTTCCTCGACATCCACAACATCCACGTGATGCGCGAGAGCCTGCGCAAGCTCAAGGAGGTCTGCTTCCCGAGCATCGACGACGGCCGCTGGCTGTCGAACGTCGAGGCGACGCACTGGCTCGAGCACATCCGCTGCATCATCGCCGGCGCGCTCAAGATCGCCGACAAGGTGGAGAGCAACAAGACGTCGGTCGTCGTGCACTGCAGCGACGGCTGGGACCGCACGGCGCAGCTGACCGCGCTCGCGATGATCATGCTCGATCCGTACTACCGCACGATGCGCGGCTTCGAGGTGCTCGTCGAGAAGGAGTGGCTCAGCTTTGGGCACAAGTTCGCGCAGCGCGTTGGCCACGGCGACGACCGCCACTCCGACCCCGATCGCTCGCCCGTCTTCCTGCAGTTCGTCGACTGCGTGTGGCAGATCGCGCGGCAGTTCCCGAACGCGTTCGAGTTTGCCGAGAGCTTTCTCGTCGACGTGCTCGACCACGTGCACAGCTGCCGCTTTGGCACGTTCCTCTACAACAGCGAGCAGCAGCGCGCGAAGGAGGGCGTGCGGGAGAAGACGCACTCGCTGTGGGGCCACCTGAACCGGCGGCGCGACGACTACGTGAACCCGCTCTACGCGACGCACCTGCACCAGCACGTCATCTACCCGGTGTGCAGCATGCGGCAGATCGAGCTGTGGACGGGCTACTACGTGCGCTGGAACCCGCGCATGCGGCCGCAGGAGCCCGTGCACCTGCGCAGCCGAGAGCTGATGGCCTTCAAGCAGCAGCTGCAGCGGCGCGTTGAGGAACTGCAACGCGAGCTGCACACGCGCAACACCGTCGGCGTGCAGACGCCGCCGCGCGTCGCCTCACCCGTGCACACGTAGGGGGCGCCCGTGCACACGCGCCGGTGCACATGTAGGAGGCGCCGGTGCACATGTAGGGGGCGCCGGTGCACACGTAAGGGGCGCCGGTGCACATGTAGGAGGCGCCGGTGCACACGTAGGGGGCGCCGGTGCACATGTAGGGGGCGCCGGTGCACACGTAGGGGGTGGCACGCTTGTCTGATAGTGCAATGCGACGACCCCGTGTTGTGGAAAAGGATTGGGTATTTCGCCGAAGGGGCGCCAGATGATTACATGAGGACTCGTAGAGAGAGAGAGCACGACTGAAGGTAGTCTGTGAGCACCAGAGTCGTCGTGTCGCCGCGGCCACATTGAGTCGTTGCAGACGCACGAGGAAAGGCAGTCGCATAGAACACCGATGTCATGGGGCGGTGGGGGGAGGGGCTCACATTTATGAGTGGAGATGACTTAGAACTGTACATAGCTACTGCCCCTCCCTGGTAGCACATGTATGCTTATGTTCAGGTGGCCTTGTGGGATGACACCGCTGATAGCGCACATACATTATTCTCAAGTACGCATTCAGGGGTCGAAACTATATTTTTATTTTGGTATCCATTCGGGATACCAGGTATTGAAATCTGGTATCCCCCCCCCAAAGATCTGGTATCCCATTTTTGGGATAGTAATTTCAACAATGTTGGTATCCAAAATCTTGAAATAGTAGCATTATATAGCAGCTAGTATCTCAATAATAGCATTTGAAAATTATTAATATGTAATGTAATTATTATATAAAAACATGAAAACAGATTCACAGATATGCACGGACAAGCTTATGAACGCAGTCAAATAGAACAGCAGATGACCATGTTAAGGAATGGTGCAGTACAAACACGCACAGAGTCTGCAGCAGTTTGCAATCGCTGTTGCTAGCTCTATCACAAAATAGTATTTGTCCTCAAGTCACATGAAAATAATACATAGGCAGCAGCATTGACTCACTGACTATAATAACACAACTATCATAACATATTAAATCACACAGGACTAATGTGGTTAAAAAAACAGAAACAAATCTGAAGCAGCAGAGTGAGCGAAGCGCAGCCCTCTCCACAATGCATGCAATACCAGTGCTCAGCATATACTCCCGCGCCTAATCGTTAGTGGGCCGAGTGCATTCGCGAGCGGCAAAACACTCGCGTATCTTACCAGTACCATAGGCGAGCGATGTATCAATCGCCTGATATTCATAATTGTAGTTCCTGCCTTGTGAGCGGTTGTAAAAAGCCGGTATTTAATAACTACATCATTAAAGCCGCACAATGCGCATCTAAACGCTAATTTCTTCAGTACTAGACTAGCAAATACTTCGTGTCATGCATAATCATACTACCTTATGGCAAAATAAACTCTAGTTCCTCCCATTTGACTGCGCGTTCCCAACAAGAAAGAGGTGCGAAATCAGGAAATCAGGCGCCAACGCTAAATTGTTTCAAACAACATAACATCGAAGTGGTGACGTGACGTCACATGTTTTTATCTTTGCTGCGCCCGTACCGCTGTACCGCGGCACCGCTGTACCGCGGCACCGCTGCACGGTTGCTTGGAGATTGGGGAACTGTCAACAACATCGGAGGTATTTTCAAAATACCTTTTATAAGACAACGCGCAGTAAAATGGGAGGAACTAGAGTTTATTTTGCCATAAGGTAGTATGATTATGCATGACACGAAGTATTTGCTAGTCTAGTACTGAAGAAATTAGCGTTTGGATGCGCATTGTGCGGCTTTAAAGGTATATATTGCGAATAAAATTCACCCCATGTCATAAAATTGCCAAATGTTTACGCCAAATGTTGCTCGCGTTCATTTTACATACGCCTCCACACTACACTGCAGACGTATTGTCTAGACGCATTGTCTGGTTCGCTTGATACAATGTAATGTATACACATCACATTTATGTGTATCAACATCGGTCACGCTTATTACGCTTGCGCTTGCAATTATGCTAAGCCTGCTGTGTATAACGCTAGTGTGGCATAGTAAAGCCCGGCGCACATTGCCGAACATTTTGCTCAAAAACATCGTAGCAATGTTCCATGAAATGTTCGGCAATGTTCCATGAAATGTTCGGCAATGTGCGGTGAAAAAAGTCGCTGAACATTTGTTCAGAACAATGTTTCTGAAAATCGGAAATGTTTGATATCTCGAACATTGTTCGTCGAATGTTCGTCAATGTGCGCTGAATGTCGAACAATTCTAGGAACATTTGTAAACTAGTAACCAATAGCAGCACGATATGTGGTCACATGATTTTTGTGCCCAATCATGCGCCGATCACGTGACTCTTTACAACACAGCTACTAGACGGTGCCACGAGATTGTTCGCTGCAAAATGTTCGGCAATGTGCGCTCAGCAATTTTCCACCCGCACATTGCCATACAAAAACATTTGTTCGGACGAACATTTGTTCGGGAAAATGTTCGGCAATGTGCGCCAGGCTTAAGGGTGCGCACTCGCGCTTTCGCACTCTGCGCGCACTCGCTCAGATGCGCTGCCGTATAAAGTTGATAACTCAACAACCACTACCCCGATTTTGGCGATTTTTTTTTTACTATCCCGGCGGGACACCAAGCATTGAAATCTGGTATCCAACACAAGAATCTGGTATCCCGCGGATATCGGGATACCGCTAATTTTGAACCCTGGCATTGAACAGCTGCATGCACTATGTGTTAGCAGTGTGCATATAATGACAGTAAAGGTGGTTAATAACATCACTGGAGCAATGCTGTATATTGTACAGCTGCGTGGAAAATTGCTTTACAAAGCAGTAGCTAATTTTCATTTCAGCATTGTGAACAAGATTGCCAATGCTATATTAACAGTCAACGAACCAATAAGCCATATCGGAAAGCCTCGCCGCCATATTGAGATCAGATAAGAGGGGGTATAAGTTGAGGGCGTATAACATGGGTAGGATAGGACTATTCTAGGTTTTTGATCTATAATTCTCTTCACTAACATCGTACTTCAATTCACAGGTGCGTCTCTGTTTACAGAAACATTTACAAATATGATTGTGGTCATTTGGGGTATTTTGCAATGTTTGTGTTAATGCAAAAACTAAAAACGCACAATTAAGTGTTTACATCATCTACTTTCCTAAGTGCGCCTTGGCCATTTTATACCCCCTTTTTCTGTGACCTAATTAGCACATCTGGACATTCCTATCTCACTTATAGTGAGTGAGTAGGGATGGTAACTATGTGTTTTGCACCTCAAAAAGGAAACTACGTTTTGGAAATCGTTGTGATCTCTATATGGTCATAGGAAGTCGAAATGTGGTCCGTTCTCACTAGATATTTATGTTTTTTTTATTATATGCTAAATCTGAGATTTGACCCCATTGTGTCTTCATGCCTACTGTGTAAGGTTATGCTTTGATGGCAGGATCTTTATGTGGGGCAGCGTAATATTAGTTCAATGTGACTGATCATTCCCCATAACATTAATTCTATATACAAATCATAAACTCAGGTTCACAAAAGAAGTTGGTCTATTATTGTTTGATACACCACCGAGTTGAATTGGAATGGCAGCACTGTTTCTAGTATATGTTAATAATGCAGAGTACCATAAGTAATCAAAGCTTTCCACTTCCCCACACAATACCAGCACCCAAATTATAAGTCTGTGCTGTGTGTGGGTTTAGCTTAGCCATAAACCTTAAAATATTTATACAGGCAACAGATGTCAGCACTTGTAAAATACATACACCGTACAGCACATGTAAATGCAACAATATATTATAAACTGCTGGATTAAAAAGTGATTCGAAATAATTTAATCATTGCGTTGTATGATCAGAAGAATTGAATGTGTGATGCCATTTTACCTGCCTGGTGGAAATCCACACTGCTTTGTACATGTAGGTTGGTTGTGGTGACGATTTCACAGAAGGGCTTGGCTACAAATCGTAGTATATCATGTTAGTCTGTATTTGTCTGCAGTGCCAATGTGTAGAATGGACACGATAGTTAGTCTGTCGTGATATAATTCCACGTCTCGGTAGAACTGGGACTTTGTGCTACAGCGGCTACATGAGAAATTGTTTACCTGAGAGTTAGGGCGAGCTTGTAAGGATTGAAGTGGTGTTTATTGATTTCTAAAGTTTTATGATAAAAAATAAATTATTCATCATGCACTACATCAAGCTCGTGTTTGAGTTTTATATCTGGATTTTATTCTGTATCTGTGTCCATTCTGCATTTATGTTAGCCTATGAAAACAATCAGCTTTCCGTAATACTGTTATCACTTTAGTATGTTAGTCGTTTATTTATACTGAGTAATATAGCCTTTTTGGTTATAAAACTACAATCACGACCGTTGCTGCAATCTTACACGAATTTTGTCGATATGTCGCATTTCATTGTACATGCCGGAGTTTCACCTAAATTGCTGTTTCTCACTTCTTGTTTTTGTTATTGACCCATACCAGCTGAGCATGTTTATGCTTGTACAAAAGCACTTCTTAGTGATTTTACTAGTAGCGTTATGAGTACATTAGGAACTAATGTTTCTTAAAACGTAAATGTTTACCGTGCATTTTCCACATGCAGGTATCTTCTTCTACCCGGACAATTTCTTGACGTCAACACTTTCACGACTCATCCGTGGATATTTCGGGACGCTGACTCGGGTGACAAGCTCATCGTCAGTCTCAAGGAGGTGTATCACCCCGAAGCAGCAAAGCGTTACCCACCTCAGAGGAATGTAGTCAGTGTCACCATCCCAGGTAAGCAATGTCAACTAGTACGGACCAGGGTCAGTATCATCATCTCAGGTAATAAAAGATGTGATCCACTAGAAATGCAGTCGGTATCACCGTTTCCACTGAAATGATGATAAACAAAGAGACCTGCTACCTATTGCATGATTATATATATATATATAAATTATATATATAATATATATATATATTATTTATTTATTTATTGTACCCTAGTGTCCGTATAACGGATGTCACATTTGCATAGCTTAGCCAATAAAACGTAGATGGTGTTCGACCAGCAAAACGTTGATGCAAAATTCTTATAATTACAGTTTTCACGTTGAAGGAGAGATGTCTGCAAATAGTACGGTCACACATTAGTACAGAAGACACCAAATTCCTAGAGCTGCCGAAATCGCTCGTGGAAGACATACTGTGCCGAGACACCAGCATTACTGACTTCGAGGACATTTAGTCGCTGACTGTGATAATTAAGCACAAACTCATACAAGCTCAAGCGTTACTGTGGTGCGCATACACGTCACTGTTACTTGGCTGGTTTAGCAGCTTGCAGGAAGACAAGTGTACGAATCTTGCGGAGTGATTAGAGAGATTTCAATTTCACAAACCAAAACTAAAGTGCTAAAGCGCTGCATGTGGCTCACATCGTGCGTCGGTTTCCATAGAAACACATTGTGACACTCAAGATACGGCCAGCCGTGCTGCGCCGATAACGGACGTGTGGTCCGCCAACACGCTTGTGAGACGGATTCGCCACTGTAGATGGCGCTGCGTGATGACGGTCTAGACTACAGGAACGATGCGTGCGCGGCCTGCGACGGCTACTACGGACCCAGCTTCTCCCTGCCTGTCTGCGGCACGTGCCACGCCTTCCTCTATCCCGATCATCCGGCACTTCCGGAAGATTCCCTCTTGCTGGCCGAGAAGGATGATTCTGGAGACTCTGGCACAGAAGAACCGACAGAATTCTTCGATTACAAGAGCAGGCGGAACCAAGTGGCTTACGTCCAGCAGGTAGTAGACATGGGTGGGAGAGTGGGAAGGTATAGGCAGGACGTGTGAGCCCAGGCAGAAGGGGTAGAGGGGGGGCAGGCAGAGATGGAACAGGCTGAAGGGGTATGGTGGGCAAACAGACAGAAGTGGTAGAATGGGACAGACAGAGATGGAAGTGTGGGCACAGGCTGAAGGGGTATATTAGGCAGACAGAAAGTGGTAGAGTGGGCAGGCAGAGACGTAAGTGCGGGCACAGACATAGAGGTGAGAAGAGTACTGAATCATGCAGGCATGTTTAAGCCCAATTTGTTAAGTGTTAAAACAACACTGATATGTTAGAAGCACAGTCTCTTGGTGTCAGTGTACTGTAGGTGTGCTGGGGCTTGAAGTTAATGCTCCCTTAGGAGTGTTCCCAACTTTGATAAGCTGATTGATAATCCTAATGATTGATAATCCTAACCCTAACCCTAACCCTAACCTAAATGACATTAAACCACAAACTAATATATGACCATTACCATATATATATATATATATATATGTTATTATGACCATTAATGACATTAAAGTTTGGAACACTCCTAATGAAGTATCACCCGGGCTTGAGCTAGTGAATCCACTTTACATGCGAATTTAGGCAGAAGTATATCAGGGAGTTGAAACTTGCCCAGCATTAATTATTTTGCATTGGTAATCAACATTTAGTGTTCATTATCCTGGCAGGCTATAACTCATTTAAGTTGGAAGGTCGTAGCTATGTGTAGCCCACACGAAGGAACCTTAGTAGCTTACTAATAATGATGATTGTTATTGACAGTGATAATGAATCGAGGCTGGCATGGATTATTTAACAGAGGAGAAATCTGTGAATAAGCAATAAAATTGGTTTACTCGAAATAAATTAGTTTTGCTAGCCTGATTTCACATTGTACTACATTAGATCAGTTGCCTTGGCAACTAGCAAATGACATTTGTGACCTCCAGGTGGTGCCACCAAAAACCGATAAACTTGCCGAGAAAATAGCTGCACTGACGTCGCCGAGAGAAAAAGACAAGGTTGCTGATGGACTAGTTGATTCCCTGCCACCAGAGGTCCTTCTCGTTGTCTTCTCTTACCTCAATGACATCTCGCTGTACAATGTGAGCCGTGTGTGCCGACGGTGGCGGCACCTGTTGGCAGCTGAAACCACACAGGTAAGCGCTATAAGCCCCCTCAGCAGTCTAGCAACGCATTTCGGTGCTTCTTCAAATGGCAAATGCTGGCCTATGGTGAACTATATTTGGGGGAAAGTAAGTGATTTAAAGGGTGTGAGATGCTCACGACTGTTTCGCGATTTTCCACATTTTTTCACATTGATTCTTGGCCCGGTTCCGTGACCCTGTGACGGACCGTGACCCTGACACACACCCCTCATTAATCCGCCAGTGGAGCGAGCATGCACGTAAACGGACTCATTTTTGTTGCGTGTGCAGGAGCAGTGGAGGCGTCACACGGAGGCACGCTGGCCACTGTTCAAGCCCTTCTACCGCATCACCTGTTGGAGACGCCTGTTCAGCAAGCTGCTGGAGAGCACTCCTTGCCTTCTCTGCCTGGAGCAGATGTCTGACCAGGTATTCATGTACAGTGGCGTCATCTGGCGATGAGTTTCACAATTAATTCGTACAAGTCTGTGATGTAGATCATCTTATTAGTATATTCGGATCAGCTAAAGAGAGAATGATTCTTTGTGTTTATTTGTGCGTGTGCCTGTGTGCATTTATGTGTATATATGTACTTATATTAACTCAAGCATTTGTGCATGTGTACATGTGTGTGTGTGTGCATACATTAATACATTCATGTCTGTGTGGATACATAGGTAGCCTACCAGCTTGATTCGCCTCAGGAAGAGAGCAAGTGGCGCTGTAACCGGCTGCGCAATGAGCTGAAAACATTAAAACAGGACCCGCCGGAGGGCATTGAGGCTACTCCTCTAGACAGAGCATGTTGTCACTGGCAGGTAGGTGTACTTCAGTACAATAAGAGTTCCTATACGTAGCACTATCTGCTTACTTTTAAGCAGGAGTTATTAGATGTAACCAGTAAAATAAATTTTTGTGAACTGGAGGCAGTGATAGTGATAATGTACACCACTCGTGTCCTCAGTTAAACAGGGGCTAATATAAGGAGTGTCATTGGACATTCTTGCACAACCCATTGTTTCACCCTGGATCTCAAGTTGGTCATTTCTAAGCTTGAGGTTGTATTTTATCAGGGGTTAATAATGACAACCTGCCATTATTAACCCCTGATTTTATCATGTTGAGCATACAGAGCCATGCTTTCCACCATGTCTGTATTCAAGTTGGACATTGTATTGTATACTGTGGGAGTTACGTTGGCACGCTTGCTGTGTCTCCCATCTCTGCAGGCATCAATCATGGGACCAAGAGAGAGCCCTTACGAAGGTGGCAAGTTTCACGTGTACCTGCAGATACCTGATGGCTATCCGATGCGCCCTCCCGTGGTGAGATTCCTCACTAAAATCTTTCACCCAAACATTAGTCGCCACGGCGACGTCGGCATCGATTCCATTCACCACAACTGGACGCTGGCTCTGACCATCTCCAAGGTGCTCATCAGCATTCAGTCACTGCTGACCGACCCGTACACACAGGTCTGCATGGAGCGCGAGATCGGCACGCTGTACGAGCGTGACAAGAGCGCATTCGAGGAGACGGCGCGCGACTGGACGTGGAAGCACGCGATGCACGACGCGTTCATGCCGACAACGGCGGATTTCTGGGCGACAGTAATGAGCGCAGGCAGACAGCATGTGGAGTAACAGGAAGGTTGGTGTCATGCGGAGAGCCTTAGCAGAGAGAGAGAGAGAGAGGGGGAGAGAGAGAGAGAGCGAGAGCGAGAGCGAGAGCGAGAGCGAGAGAGAGAGAGAGAGAGAGAGACACAGAGAGACGACAGCAGGAAGGCTTAGGAAAGGATAGAACAGTAAGGCATAGCAGAGAGGCATGGCAAAAAAGGATGGAGTAGGAGTGGAAAACAGGAAGGCATGGCATGAGAGAGATGGGGCCGACATTAAGCATAGTAGAGAGCAGAAGAAGCTGAAAGGTGTAATATACTATTGGAGGCAAATTTGGGAGAGTCTGGCTGTGGATTAGAAATAGAATGTAAGCGTTTGTATTAATTATTGTTGTTGTTGTGCTGATGTAAGAGATCATTTTAGAATGATTCAAGGGCAAGTAATTTGGCATGGCGTTTATCACATACAAATTTTCTCTTTTCACGTAAGTAGTTCTTGCTTCTGGATCCATAGTAACATCTGAATTGGCAGGATATGTGAACGAGTGTATGTGGCACACTGGTGAAAAGTTAGTTAACTCGACATAGACGTGTAGAAAATAGGTAGTTTTATTTCACAATATTTTGATTATTACCATGTTACTGCTATTAAATCTACAATGTACATATATCTGCTAGATTAAAAGTTTTAATAAACTAATTAACTGCTAGTTTCGTTCAGCTCATTGGCAATCACTCTGGCAATGATGAGTTATTTTCAATCTTATCCTGAACTAGTGTGTTACACTACAGACTACACCCCCGTCCACACGTAGACTGCCGATGTCTGGTTGCGTGTGCTCACAGCATGTAGCAGTGTTTTTCCTAGTGTTTTTGTGAAGACGTCGTGATCTTATTCACACACATTTTCTTTTCATCTCTTCGACTTTTCAATCTACTCAACTTGGGATGTAGCCAAGAATAGTAGTATGTACCTTGACATTCATTAGTACCACTAGTACTGCACATAGATTTGATAACATAATAGATATGATTGGCGTGGTATGGTATACCACGTATAATTCGAAAATATGCGTGACAACATGGTCAGTGAAATAGTATACAAACGGATTGTGATGTGCCTCAATCTCTTCAACCACACTGAGCAAAGAGTTCCACAATGGAATGAAAGTTGAGCATGGTTGGGAGAGGCGCACAATCTTTGACTTTGACAATTTGTAAATTCTAATTCTAAAGTTTTAACTATGCTATACATTGGTAAATACACATACAGGTTAGATAGATATTACAGTCATATCTATACTGTGAATATGCAAGTGCTCTGTAAGTTGTGTTACTGTAATGATCGAATTTTAAAATTTTCGAAACTACCATCAGGTGCCATTCTGCAGTCTTGTTTTGTTCACCAATTCCCAAAATAGCCTATTTTGTGATACAAACACCGTTGACGCATCGTTTTGACAACATAGCATAGGACCATCACTGTCTACGAACGTTTACTGACGCTACCCTGGTACTAAATACTACTATCTAATATGCCGGACCGTACCTCGCCTACTCCACTAACGAGTCTAGGGAGACGCCTACTCCCTAACCCTAACCATAACCCTAACCCTAACCATATCAGCTAGATAGTTACCAGGGTACGTTCTGGTATACCGGACCGTACCCAGGGTACGTTCCAGCAGTACCCTGGGGGACATAGACCCTATCAGCTATACTGACGTGTACGAGGGACGCACGAATACCAACATTACATGACTCTAGTCTTTAGTGTTGGCAAGTTGAATGCTATAAATCTTAATGAAAATGTTATACTGTATATTCTAAATGTGGCCAATTACTCAACAGCATAAAAAAAATGCATATTGAACTAATCTAAATTGGAACTATACAGTGCATGTACCAAACGTTGGTACATAAAAACCAATGATTAGCAACTGCTTTACTCATTCTAACTCATATGCTACTCATTTCTGCTATTTACTGACGCTTTTCGAAAATCCACAAATGGCATCATAGCAGGAACACAACTGATAGAAACGCTTACATATTTAAAGTCTTAATATGTTCACATGCATATATATATATATATATATATATATATCTGTAGCTTGTTTCACGCTTTTAAAAGTGGTAGCAACACAATGAGCTAACTGTGTTCTGGTCTGCCCATGTCAGAGACACATTTTCTTAACTATGACTTATGACACTCGGCTACTCCACCCTGTGCCGGGTACCTCAAGAGAGGCAACTAACGTCGGCAGTGAATTGACTCTACTGCAAACTATAACTACATTACACCTCATAACCTTAGAAAACATAACACCTTCAGCTCATTTTCTATCGCATGCTATACCTACATTACTCACCAGAAATACATCACACGCAGTGCATTTCTGAGTACACCAAATAACCTTATTGATTACAAAACATCACAAACTTTGGTACGAAATACCTCACATGATCGCACACCCAGCAAAGTGAATACATCTGTGACTAGCCGAAGTCAAACCTCGAGTAACTACCTATGATAAAACCTACTCATCCTCTACGCGCTACACGTATCTTGAAGCCGTATCTGACGTTCACAGATGCCCTGTACACTCCATACAATATAGGTCTGTCGCAGATTCTCAATTTCTCTCAACAGTCGTACAGCTTGCGCATACATGCAAAGAAACACTGCTGTTTTAGTGAGACGACAGGCCTGAGTCACTAGCCAGTACACTACAGGAGCTTGGCTGTCATTTTGAGAAAAATATCACAAAAGCAAAATTACACAACTTGAACAATATCATATCACACGTTATAAGCATCCAATAAACAAGACATAAGGTCGTATAATGTTTTAGTTACACTAAAAACGAAAAAAGTACATTTTATCAGAAGTTCATAAAAGATAGTCAGATAATTTTGTACTGCTGATATTATGTCTGTCCTTTGTTCAAACAATAATCCTAAAGTCAGGATCTCTTATTATACTGTGGATCATTAAATCTGATATTACCTCTGGATACATGAAAAACTACATGTAACTATATCTGTTACACATTGGAAATCTAGATACAAAAAATAGTGCTTTTCTAGTTATTGATCTGAAAACTGCACCATGACCCGAGTAACAGAAACGGACTGTTGTAAAATCAATTTCAGTCGTTCATCCATATAGCACCGGTTAGAAAACTGTACAGTCCGCATTGCTACAGCTCATGCACAACATGAAGACTTATTGGGTTCATTTGCACATTTTCATATTTGTACTATCATTATGGCTATAGTAAACCTCGAGTTCTAGTCAACTTTCTAAGCACTTGTGTTATCAAAAGAATCACGCAAATTGTCAGCGCCTTTTCAATTTTGCCCGTGTTTCAGCTGATCAAATCAGCCAGCCACATATAAAGCACGTATTGTTTCTGTTACTGTTTTACACAGTCGTCAAACTTCTTTGCAGCCAACCAGAAATAATTAAATCAAATGAATATGTAAAATAAAAATGTTTTTAAAAAGCTTCTGGCTTCTGGCTTAGCTAACAACTTGGAAATTGTGCCCTACATGTGAACAATCAGATGAGCATGACAGGCATCAGCTTATTTCTTGAGAGGCAAAGAAATTAAAAGTTCAGTACAAGTCACCGGGTGAATACTTTTCATATAGTACCAGTAAAACGAATATCTCATGTAAACTAATGACAAACAACAAAACAAATCTCCTCTGCTAAAAATGGATTTTCAGGGTCCGTTTGACTTTTTCTTAAAATATTCTTTCCTTATCTTCCCTTTTATTAACTGATTTTTGACCCGTGACCTCCATATTCCAATATGGGGTGAATTTTTTCTACAAGCCTATGCCTTAAACATGAGCCTTGTAGGTCCTTTCTTTCTTGAGATCATTAACATCGGATACCAACAACATTAGACAGTATTGCGTAGCATAGCTTTCTACCTGTAATCTATGGCAATCTATACCACTATTTGAATTAAACATAAATAAGGTCACACTACGAGTGTGTGGCAAATTATTTTGTGTAGTCACTAGTCGCCACATGCAAGAGCAGGTTCATTCATAAAATAACTTGCCAATTCTTGCACCTAATACATTGACTTAACAAATGAAGCCAAAAAAACCTATTTCAATGAAAACTTCCTGGTGCAATAGAACACAAATGGCAATCAGTAGGAACTCCCATTACAGCCACTCACCGGCATTGCGTTGGGCGTTGTATGCAGAAAATGAACATGTTAAGCTTGCCTTCTCTTTTAGACTACGAGTTTACCTTTGTTGTTTGAGGTAGAAATTGTTGTTGGAGAGAGATGTCATTGTTCGTTCAGTATCTGCTTACAATATGCACCTTTATGTTAGTGCACAAGTACTAGAACAAGCAGAAGCATGCATCACCTCAAAGAGACAAACTCAATAGCCACGGTGATGTCCTTCTTACTACTATATCTTGAGTGCTTTTCAACATTCACATTTTTTCCGAACTTTGCTCTTACACATCATTATTGTAATAGCCAGAAATCCACTTATAATGCTCTAGATCTACTGTACAACATGGCTGAATATGTATCTCAGGATAGGGGCAGATGGAGGCCATGCTCATCAAACATCACAAGGACAGTTACTGTATTTTACTGTCTAAGGCTATTAACTCACATTCTCGTCACTATTACTCGTCATTTCTAAACCTCACAGACTAGGTAGGTTACAATAAAAAAGTCGTGGCCTGCCTAATGTCTTTTTTTTCTCCCAAAGTGCTAAGTAATGATTGCCACATTCACTGTACTGCCTTTTCCTTACACCCCAGTCGTGTTTATTTTCAAAGCTAACGTTCTATAAACATTGTTATAATGCCTATACAACACCCACTAAACTATACCACTTCTACATTTCTGTAACACCATTGCCATACAGAGAGGCACACAACTACGGGTGCATTTTATGCAGTTTTATAGTTATGCAATTTAGCATGGCACATTGTTGAGTTACACAAACAAGATAAATTTCAAGGGGCGACAGGATATACGACGTGATACTAGACGTGGCCCCATAACGAGGCTGTGACACCAGTTACAGGCTGGGATACGGGTGACAGGCTGGGATATGGGTGACAGGCTGGGATACTAGTGACAGGCTGGGATACCGGTGACAGGCTGGGATATGGGTGACAGGCTGGGATACTAGTGACAGGCTGGGATACCGGTGACATTGGGTGACAGGCTGGGATACGGGTGACAGGCTGGGATACAGGCGACAGGCTGGGATATGGGTGACAGGCTGGGATACCGGTGACAGGCTGGGATACCGGTGACAGGATGGGATACCTGTGACAGGCTGGGATATGGGTGACAGGTTGAGATACTAGTGACAGGCTGGGATACCAGGGATGGACACTGAAACTGGTGACACACCGAGACACTAGTGACATTCTTTAATGTCATTTGCGGCCTAAGATACCATTTACAGGCTGTGCCGCATGCACAGCTGAGTGGCACATTGCTCCAGCAATGCTTTCAGCTCAACTACGAGAGGACTCTCAGCACCCATGGATATGACGAGGATCTCATCAGCCTGTTGCATGAGGAAAAAAAACAGAAGCGAACGTTAGTGTACCGTGGTTTTAATGCTGTGATGCCGTGCGCATCGTCATGACTCTTGGTGCAAGAAGTGTAAGTAGTGATAATGACAGTAGTACTACTCACCTGTTGCAGATGAGTAAGAGCATCTTCCAGGTGCTCCAGATACAGCTGAAGCTTCCCTATCTTCATCAGCTGCCGGCCAACGTTAGGATCGTACGTGGGATGAAACCGCCTGCAGTTTGAGACAGTACTCTACATCTCTTATTGTTTACGGCCAAATCGCTGCCTCTGCTAACCACGTTCGACAGCACGGCCAATTTATCACTGACGAGAATTACTGGCACCATGCGATTAAACTTGCAGAGGTAAATTTCATTTACATGATTACATTCGTCGGCACAAACATTAGTAAACTACGTCCTCTAGCGCGACCACGTGGCAGCGCTGGCCAGCCGGCCGCACATCGCCCGTCTTTCCTGGCCACGCACCTGTAGCACTCGATCGTCTGTAGTCCGTATTGTACGGCTTGCTCCCACAGCTGCTGGTCGATGCAGGCGTCCATCGCCTTGTCGAGAACGCGCACGTAGTTCACGCACAGCGGGTGCATGACCTGCCGCTGCAGCCGCAGGCAGGACTCACACTGCTGCAGCACCAGGGCCGGATGTGCACATGTCGAGTCAAGGACCAGTGAACCAGTCAGCGACGCGACTGACAAAATGCGCACGCATTTACTTGAATCAAACTGCGTGCACCTTGTATGAACACAAGACAGCAAAATGAGTAGTTCTAGTTGGCTAAATAGAGAGTGCATTTTTAAATGCGTGGTTTTATTTCTACAGCAGGGCTAGTTAAATTAGTTTGCTGAAGAATGTATTTGGATATGTGTGTTACCAAAGCAAGGAGGCACCCTATTCGTTCGCCACACAACTAGAATTTGGGTAACAGAAAAAAATATATTTTAGAATCAAAGCATTCGTAAAGAGAGATTAAATTATTCAATAGTTTCATTGGTTATTGGTTAGATTACTAATACTACTCTACTACTAGTTAGATCAGCCAAAGGATATCCTGTCCACCACTGTTCTCGATCATGAGTAGTGTTTCCTGAGTCATCTTCTCTGCTTTTTCCACTTGTTTGTGATAGGTAGCATCAAAGTTTGTGAAGCCACATACTTGACATGGGTAGAAACTCAGATCAGCTGGAAAGAGACAACACCAGCGTCACATCATCTGATTCTGATACATGATCCGAGTTATTTATAATCGGTTAAATATTTCCCAAGTCTCTTACACTACTCAAACCTATTGTTGCATTCAGTTATATCCAGTAGGTGCAGCACATGCAGCTACAAAAAGCAAGTATGACGACACTTTCACATATATAATCTCTTTTTAAACCATATAGAATAAGTTTGGCATTTTCAGGAATACTGGGCAAGTATGACAATTGCAGTGACACAGGGTGATTATGCAGCACCCTCATCAGAGAAAAACAGGTGTGCCACGCATTTTGCTGAGCAAATTATTAGCATCTCATGATTTTGCAATACCTGCCCGTGTTACGGCACCCGTACAGCTCACGTTTCCACACTTCGTGCTTCGTTTCAGGGCATCCTGCAGCAAATACAGCATCTATTTAGTTACATGCTAGAGTGCATCATTAGGAATCGTGTGAGGTCTGGTTTGAATAAAAGGAATGTCTTGTTAGAAAATTTATTGGTTACATTATTCACTCATTGTCTCATAACATTCATGCGTAACATTAGAATTCAGCCACTGGCACAACTGATTTGAACAGTTTATAAAACACATGATAGAGAACGTTGCATAAAACTAACTAATTTTTTGTTGTGCCTCTAAGCGATATACTTAGCAACTCTTTTCACACTGAAATTTCTTTAATGGTTAAGTTGACAAGCAACTTAATACGCATTTACTTAATTCCCTGTTCTGTGTTATTTCCTTCACCAATAAGAAAGAACAAGAGCCGCACAGCGTCTGGGCTCATCTGGGGTCTGTTGCTACGGTTATGAACGTACAATTTCAGTCGTGCGTAGTGACACATTTGTTAGGCGCAGATATGCAGATACGCAGTTGCGTACACATCATTGTTAGGACACGCTCACTATCTCCCCTGTTTCGAGCGAAAATAGGATCGCACACCGAGAGGTGGCACTGGTGCTGTTTTGAGG